ATATGTGTGTGTGTGTTTGTATAGGTGTGTCCCTGTGTGTGTGTGTGTGTGTGTGTGTGTGTGTGTGTGTCATTATAGATACATGCATTTTAACAGAAGTCTGTAATTATAACATTCATTGTAATTTCAGTAAGGAAATTTGGGAATTTTTAATAATCTCTAATTCCTCCACCTTATTTTTTCACATGTGATATACAAACCACAAATTTTCTGAATTAATGTGATTTTCTGAAATTTGATTTGAAAATGTATCACCTCCAGTTTCTTATTTCTAAACGCATAGGATTCCATAAAATTGTGCAGTCATTATCACTTCTGCAAAATTCTATTTTTAAACATTTCCATAACTTGTCATCATTCTGCCTTCTTATTACTTCAGATCACATAACCCTCAAGTCTGGCTGGATGATACTTCTTTTCATGAGGTTGCTTGAACTGATGGTTTTCTTATCCCTCGCCAGTAGAATAATCATAAAACCTGGGTTCTTATCTGATACAAACTGAGGACAGAGAAAGTGAGATATAAAAATACAAAGAGAAAAGCAGACTGCTGTAATAAAGATGTTCAAGGACAAGTGCCCAGGTATGGTGTTCCTAATTAGGAAGGTAAATAGTCTGAGCCTAATAAGACAGGACCCAAGTCAGTCACTTGTGGTCTTAAGTAATAAGAAGGCCGAGTGATGACAAGACAAGAGAGGAAGGCATGCTTGAGCAATGGGATCTGTCTGCCTTCTGGAGAGGATAACCATAGAGGACAAGGGACTGCAGGGCTTTTCCTATGTCTTGGTAATGCAAATCATCATGGAAGGGAAATGAGGAGCTGCAACATACACACCTTGTCAGATCCTGAAGAACACCCACAACTTCCTATGTATTTGTACATTACATTTTATGTCCCTCAGTTTTTTGTGCAAATCTGTTTATTGTGAATGGCAGTGATGGAGCTAGACCTTAGCATAGGTCAGGCAGTCATCCTTGCAAACACTGATGGGGATCCAACACTACGAGTACTGAGTTCTCCTTATTCCTGGTGTTCAGGAAGTTAGAAGAATATTTTTCAGATATGTTTAGCATATCTCATCTTGGGTTTGTATGTTATCTTCATTGTGGTTACAAAAATTTGGGGAGGAGTAAATAAAGGACATAGAGACTATATTATGTGATCTTAGAGATGCTAAATAAGAAGATGAACCTAAAGAAAAACATACAGTTATCCTCCTGGATATTGGAAGTTGACAAAATTGCCAGGCAGGGGTTGGGAGCACAGGGGTGGGGGTGAGGTAGGGATAAGAGGAGATGTGGGTAGAGAAGGGAGAAGGGGAGGATGTGGAGAACTTGAGGGAATGGGATGGTTGGGATGAAGGAGGGGTGGATGTGGGAGCAGGGAAGTATATATCTTAATTAAGGGAGCCATTTTAGGATTGCCAAGAGACTTGACTCTAGAGGGGTTCCCAGATGTCCAAGGAGATGTCCCCAACTTGTTCCTTGAGCAGTAGAGGAAAGGGTGCCTGAACTGGCCTTCTTCTACAGCCACACTGATGAATATCTTGCATATTATCATAGAACTTTCATCTGGTGATGGAGTGATGGATCGAGATAGAGACAGTGACCCACATTGGAGCACTGGACTGAGCTCCGAAGGTCCTAATGAGGAGCAGAAGGAGGGAGAACATGAGCAAGGAAGTTAGGACAGCGAGGGGTGTGTTCACCCACTGAGACGGTGGGACAGATCTAATGGGAGATCTTTTCAACATTTTTACATAGAATCTTGATGCTGAAATATCAGTTGTAATACATTTTGATACTTTAAACACAAGGTGGCTTACAATCATCTCTAATGAGATCTAGTGCTCTCTTCTGACCTTCAGGCATACATGCATGCAGAACATGTATACATAATGAATAAATAAACATTTAATACTGAAAATCAGACTATTTACTTTTCTTATTAGGAACACCATACCTGGGCACTTGTCCTTGAACATCTCTATTTACAGCAGTCCTTTTTTCTCTTTGTATTTTTATATTTCTCTTTCTCTGTCCTCAGGTTGCAGCACATAAGAACCCATGTTTTATGATAATTGAAATGTTGATGAATGAGAAAGCCTGAAGTTCATAACACCTCATGAAAAGAAGCAGCATGCAGCAAGGCTTGGGGTTATGTGATCTGAAGTAATAAAAAGACAGAGAAACCTATGTGATAACAAGACATGGAAGCAGGGTATACTTGAACAGTGGGAACTGCTTGCCTTGTGGTGAGGATAACCATAGAGGACAAGGGACTGGAGGGTTTTGTCCCATTACTTAGCAATGTAAATCACCAGGAAAGGAAAATGAGATGCTGTAACCAACATGCCCTGTTAGATCCCAAAGAGCATCCACCGCTTCTTTTATTGGAATTCCACATTTTATGTTCCTCAATTTGTTGTACACAATATATTTGCTGTGAGTGGCAGTGGGGGAGCTAAAACTTAACATAGGTGAGCCAGTCATCCTTGCAAATACTAATGGGGCACAAACACTATGTGTGCTGTGTTCTTCTTATTCATGATGTTCAGTAAGTTAAAAGAATATTTTTCAGACATGTTTAGTATGTCTCATCTTGGGTTTGTCTGATATTCTCATTGTGGTCACAAACATCAGGGAAGAGATATCAGAGAAATAAAGGCACATTTCTAATACTACATTTGGGAACTTGATATAGGTCAACTTATTATTTCTATATTTTTGACATTGTCTACTGCACAGATAGTATTTGTATTCTATACTCTTAATTTCTGGGTTTGTGTTTCTGTGAATATGTCTAAAAGGAATTCACTAAAGAAAAGTCATTTGCAAAAGGAATGAGTTGATGGTAAAGGAAACCACTAAGCAGAAGTCGTTACAAAGGGAATGAGTTGATGGTAAAGTCACACATCATTTACAAATATCGTCTATTTGAGAGGTGGGTCCTTATTTGTAAGTGTTTCATCAGTTATTTTCAACTCTGTGCAACCTCAGCCACACATTCCAACATCCACAGACAGAGACACCCAAAGAGAATGAGATTCCTAGTTCCAGATACAGTCAGAAACACTCTCACATTCGCTGGTAGAACGGATGACTTTTTTCATTTTTTCAGAGGGTCATCTAGGTGGAGGGGACTTTCTATATAGACCAAGCTATGAGAGATTTTCTTGCTTCTGTTTCTCTGTTGAATGCATTAAGACTATATTTCACCATGCCCTACCATCAAATGCACTGTTGTCAGTAATTAAAGAATTTATTACTTGAAAAACTTTCAATACAATATATTCTTATAATTGTTTGCATCCCCTCTTCTTTTATAGATCCTATTCATTTCACTATTTTCAGATTTCCATAATGATCAGTTTTAAGGGTTATTTATAAGGACATATAAGGATTTGGACTCAAGTCATTCATTTTTGTATAAATAGCTAATGGTTTAAAAATCCATAATTGACAATACATTTTCTCTTTTAAAAATTATTTAACAATACATGTATTTCTCTTACATATTACAATTCTTTCATCAGTGTATAGTGATAATATCCAGGGCTCAAGAGTTGGCTCTGTGGTAAGATGCCTACCATCCAGTATTAGTATCTTAGCTTGATTCACAATACTTAGCTTAGAAGCTGGGTGTTATGGTTTATCCTATATTCCCAGCATTGGAAGGGGTTGTGACTGGAGGTTCTCTAAAACTTGCCATCCCAAGAATCTATCTGCACATTTGTGCTCCAGGTTTACTGTGAGATCATGTCTCAAAAATAAGATAGAAAAAAAACCAATAAACACACTCAATCTCAACTCTAGACTTCAAACATATGTGCAAATCATACACAATGCACACACAGTCTAAACAGTTAGGTTTTCAAGCCATCCAAACATTGTCCTTACCATGCATGGGATTCATGGTTTATAGTTATTTAGAACTGTGTCATGAAGGTTGCAGACCTTGGATGAACTGCTTGCTATGGAAGTCAAGAGAAAACTCCTGTATACTTGTTCCTTCTCCACAACTTCACAACTGCACTTTCTATCCTGGGGATGTCCATTCCTTTTCCAGCCATGAGAGTGGCTCATTTAAGTCTGTGAAAGTAAGAAAGGATATTTGTCTAAGTGCTCAATCCCTATTTTTAGGAGAATTTGGTTCTTAAACTTAAGACATTTCACATGATCAGAAAGCACTCCACTACAGAGCTACAAGCCTAGATCAATCTTTTAAAATACCACATTATTCTACAGAAAATATTATTTGGAGACTGCATTTTGCACTACTAACTTATACACTAGGAATCTTAAAATTCTTTTTCCTTGATGCCCAGCACTTACAACTGATTCTGTAAGGATCAATTTACTTAGCATGGATCTCAAGAATGTTGGGGTATTGAGGATAACTCAAACCAAACAAAGAAAACAGAAGGAAGAGGACAAGGAGAAGTAGAGGGAAACTACTCCCTCAGCTGGTGACTCCTATTCTGAGTCTGGATTCCTTGACATTTTCATGACTACTATGTAGTTGAACCACAGCATGTTCTGGTATCTCACTACTTATGTTCAACATCACACACCTGAATAAAAATGTATAAATGAGAGCAGACTGCACATAGGAGTAACAGTGTATGTCACAGACTGTAAAGTAAAGACAGGGTCTGTTGAGCAACATATGTCAACACACACACACACACAGAGTAGTTTCAGATAAAGTGTGAGAGAGAGAAAAAACAAAGAAGAGTGAGAGACAGAGTGAGACACTGAGAGAGACAGGTAGACAAAAAGCCTTAAAGGGAAACAAGGAGAAACACTATAATAAATAAACACACATACCCAACAGGAAAAAGAAATTGAAAAAATAATATTTGGACATTCAAGGATTACTACACACTGTACCTGTAGAGAAAATCCCTAAGTGTGATATGGAGAGGCAGTGAGACACAGAAATCCAGTCCTTCATGCTTTTCTGAGCAGGCTCTTCTGTGACCCAGATCTCTAAGTGCTCTCAGCGCCCCCTGCTGGTCCCGTGTTCCCCACAGCGGTGTTTTTGTCTGAGTCCACAGTAGCATTCACTCACTGTGTTTCTTGCACAGTAATACATAGCTGTGTCCTCAGACTTCAGACTGTTCATGTCCAGGTACAGAGTGTTCTTGGCATTGTCTCTGGAGACTGTGAACCGGCCCTTCACAGCGTTCGCATAGTCAATGTAGCTACTACCACTATTAATATATGCGATCCACTCCAGCCCTTTCCCCGGAGCCTGGCGGACCCAGTGCATTCCATAGTCACCAAAGGTGAATCCAGAAGCTGCACAGGAGAGTTTCAGGGACTTTCCAGGCTGCACCAACCCTCCTCCAGACTCCAGCAACTGTACCTCACACTGGACACCTGTAAACACAAAAAATTCGGGTTAGAAGACTGACACAAAAGACATTTTTTTTCTCTTTCTCATGTTCAAACAGCACAGAGTATCTCATCTTTATGAATTACCTTTTAAAATAAGGACAGACAAAGCCAGTATAAGCCCTAAGTCCATGATGTATTCAGCACTAAACCCTAACTGGGAGGATTTGGGAATCCAGGACTGGTCTCCTCTACCTGATCTGCAGTGACAGGGCATGCCTAGTTTTATGAGCACAAAGAAGACTTATTTGCATATCTTCCTGCTATAACAGGCTCTGTAGTTGGACGTGGGAAAAAGGCAGAACCCAGCGCAGATATAAGTCATCATCCACACTGATGACAGTTATAGAAATTCAAGCACTTGCATTATTCCATGTATGCATTTTCCTTCTTAGCCATTCACCACACTTTACTTAGTTCAGCTGTCACCATATGCATAGAAAATGTTGTGTTTCCACCCTGTCATGTCTTTTTAGGATCAATGTGAAATTGAAAAACTTCGCACTGCTCTGTTTCTAGATATTATCTCTGTCTGTCCCTTTGCCTCTGCTGAACATGGCTTCTTCCTGAGGTGGAATTTGGGTAGGGTGGCACCTGTCTCTAAGTAAACTTCTTCTCTGTGACAGGAACACTTGAGACTTTTTTGATTTTTCCTCAGTTCTGAGAAATGTTGTCCTATGTCCCCAGGAAGTTTTGCAAATGAGACGTTCTTTGTGGTTGTCTGTCTTCCTATCAGTGATTGCTATGGAGAGATATTTATATTTCAGCACTTAATCTTTTGCATCCTGAAATTTTCCCTATGATCACTTTCTACTTTCCTCTGTGCCTTTCTTTTTCCTAACTTGATACCAGGCAATACATGGCTGTCTTCAATGTGTCTTATGTCAGTTTTTATTTATGCATATTTATGTTGTCAGCATAATGGGGGCACTAAATAAATTTTTATAATAAAACACAGAACTTTGACATCAGTTTGGTATTGTCAGAAGAGTCTGTTTTTATTTTCCCAAATACTGGTGCCTTCTACCTACTCATTCCCTTTCTCTCATTACACCCAACATTTCATTTCAAAATCTCTGTCTTACCCTGTGTCATTTCTGTCTTGCCCTTCACTTAAGATGTCTTTTCCTGTCTTGACTTCCATTCTAGTTCTGAGACTACAAAACATAAGTCAGAAAACCACATATACAGAGTCTCAAACACACAATCTGGATTTTCTATAAGGCAGAAAATGTCCTTCCCTATCTTCAATATGTTGTGTGATATAAAAATTTCAAAATCATTCAAGTTCCTCCAAGGCTCAGAGAACACTGATGAAGGGGAGGTAAGAAGAATGTAAGAGGTGGAACACAGGGAAGGGTACTATTAAATGCTATCTTCTGGACATGCTATGAATATTACAATCATGTACTCATAATGGCTGTTGTTGTCTGTATAATCCTAACTAAGTCCAAGGCAGCCAAAGCCCTGGTCTAGATAGGGCTGATAATTCCTTGGCCCTACTTCTTACTGAGGAGCAGATGGAAATGTATTTTCTGGACAAGGGATATAGTTCCTCTTTTTTGAGGGTATGGTTACTGGTATGTTTCCAATATTGCAGTCCATGGGTTCACATACATGCACATATGGGCAGCACTAACTGTGCTTAAATAAGTATAAGGTTGATACGGCCCCATGCTTGGGAGATTTGGGAGGAGCTGGATGAAATAATATCATAGGGAGAGATCCTAACATATAAACGAAAATAATTTAAACTATATAACTGAAGCTCAAAACAATAAATTCTGAAAGCAAGTACTTAAGGAGCACTGGTAAATATCAAATAACTTGGTAGGCAACTTTATCTGGGACCATCTTCCCATCTAATTAAGAATTGGTAGAGTCCTTCACTTATTTAGTTTTTTTTAATTCATTAGATTTTTTTTTTTAAAAAACTACCAATACAAGTTCCTACTCCCTCTTCTGCTTCCATTACCTCCACACACCCTCCCACCCTACCCCCATTTAATCCTCACAGAGGGCAATGCACATTGCCTTATGGAAGGTCCTAGGCCCTCCCTACCATATCTAGGTTGAGAAAGGTATACATCCAAAAAAAATACTATGGCAAAATGCCAGTACATGCAGTAGGGATAAATCCTGGTGCCATGCCAGTGGACCCTCAGTCTTCCCTAGCCATGCAGATGCCAACCCCATTCAGAGAAACTGGTTTTGTCCTGTTCTTGTTCCTTTCCTGTTCGACTGGAGTTGTTGAACTCCCATTAGCTCTAGCAAACTGTTTCAGTGGGTGAACCCTTCATGGTCTTGACCTCCTAGCTCATATTCTCATTCCTTTCACTCTTCAATTGGACTTGAGAGCTCAGTCCAGTGATCCAATGTGGGTCTCTGCCTCTGCCTCCATCAGTTGCTGGATGAAAGCTCTATGGAAATATTTAATATAATCATCAGTCTGACTACAGGGCAAATCAAGTTCAGACCCTCTCTCCTCTATTTTTCAGGGTCCTAGGAGGTCATTATTTTTGATTCCTTGGAATTTCTCTAGATTCAGGCTTCTGCTAACCCTATAATGGCTCCCTCAATTAAGATATCTCTTTCCTTGCCCTCATCTTTGTTTTTCCTCCATCTCGACCATCCCATTCCTGCAGGTTCTCCTCTACCCTCCACCTCTCCCTTTCTTTTCGCTTCCTACCCTTTCCTCTAACCCACCCCATGCTCCCAACCCTGACAATCAATCCTGTCCATTTCCAGTTTCCAGGTGCTCACCTTTGTGCTCATTTCCCTTTGTGCTCACGTCATTACTTAGCCTCTCTGGATGGAATGGTCTCTGTTTATAGCTAGTATTCATTTATGTGTGAGTACATACCATATTCATCTTTTTGAATCTGGGTTACCGCTCTCAGTATAGTATTTTCTAATTCCATCCATTTGCATGCAAAACTTAAAATGCCATTGATTTTTAACCACTGAGTAGTATTCTAATGTGTAAACATGCCATATTTTCATATTTTCTTTATTCATTCTTCAGCTTAGGGGAATTTACGTTGTTTCCAGGTTCTGGGTGTTACAAATAATGCTGCTATGAACATGATCGAGCAAATGCTTTTATAATACGACTAATCATCTTTTGGGTATATGCCCAAGAGTGATATTGCTGGATCCTGAGGTAAGTTGATTCTCAATTTTCTGAGAAGCCAACATACTGATTTCCCAAGTGGTTGTACAAGTTTGCCATCCCACCAACAATGGATGAATGTTTGCCTATTCCAATTCCTCTCCAGCATAAGCTATCATTAGTGGGTTTGAATTTAGCCATTCTGACAGGTTTAAGATGGTTTCACAGAATTGTTTTGATTTGTATTTCCATGATAGCTAAGGATGTTAAACATTCCCTTAAGTATCTTTTGGACATTTGAGATTCTTCTGTTGAGAATTCTCTGTTTAGTTCACTAAACCATTTTTTAATTCAGTTATTTCAAATTTTTATGTCTAATTTCTTGAGTTCTTTATATACTGTGAAGATCAGTCCTTTGTCTGAAGAGGGGTTTTTGAAGATCGTTTCCCATTCAGTGGGTTGCTTTATTGTCTTATTGACTGTGTCCTTTCCTTTAAAGATCTTCTCAGTTTCGGGAAATCTATTTGCAGATAATTCTATACATGATTTGTAAAATCTCTTTTCACATTTGTTTAGTTGTTACTTTACTCTAAGGTGACATTACCCCATCATAACTCAGAATTAGGGGAAAGACATATCAATCCTGCCTACCCTTTCATGTCTCATGCTGCAATAACAGTTATTCTGGTGTTAGATTATATATATGTGTCATCTAGGTATTTCTTTTTCTTTAAAATTATCTAGAAGGAATCAGAGGACATAGTGAAGAGAAGAGAATTTCAATGGCATCTCTATAAACAGCTCTTACTTCTTTTCTACTCCAGATGGAAAACTGTGCTTGTGCCTATTTGTTCAATGATTTATTTACCTTAATGTGGATATATGAAATGTCTTAATTAATATTGGTAGGCTCTCTGGATATTCTTGTTCAAAAGTAAAATCCTTGTTATTAAATTAGCTGTATTGGCTTTGATATATTTTATGTCCAAAAAAACTCATTAAAAAGTTTACCTTGTTCATCCATTTTAGGAGCAACCATTTAAGCTGATCCTCACACTGACCCTGGAAATTATGACAGTAGAACCCCTGGGTTCAACATAGCGTGGAGTTATTCATTTCACTGTTAAGTGTTCTGCTGTCAGGATTATAAGAATGTTGTCAATGAGGTCTCCAAAGCTTCGTAACACACTATTGGTGTCAATGCGTGAATTTCTGGAGAAGCCTCAGCCTCAGAAGAAAAGATTCTATTTTACTTTTTAAACCTGGCCCAAGTTTATGATCTATTAACATGGAGCCCACAGCCAACACACCTTCTCTGAAGACACTTCTCTAGCTCACACATGAGAAACCAGGCTCTTCCAGTCAGCAACATTAGAGAGTGCAGAGGAGTAATTCTGAGAACAACAAAAGCACCAACAAACTGTGAAAATCATAGAACTCAGTTGTCCATGAAAAGGGTTGGAAAGAGATGAACCAGAGACTGGAGCTGATGTCTGCTGGGATGTGCATATTTTGGCTGAGAATTTTATGGTCAGAGTTGCACAATATGTCTATAGAGAAATCATTAGCTTGGAGTTCGAAGTGCAAGCTAATTTTTTACCAAAATGTAAAGGCTCAAAAATAGAATCGTGCAACAATTTCAACAATCATTCACTTTTCCATGGTCCTATTAATTTAGAAGTAGAAAACTGTGGATGGCTCAATTTCTAAGCTAACTGCGTAAGTTAACATCAATTCAGGGAAGCTGTGGTTTCTCTACCACAAGTTTAAAAGGAAACAGGATGAATTAAAGATTATTCAAAATTCCCAAGCTGTCTTTTATAGTCAACAAGTTGCATAATTTTAGATACCTGATGACATATATGTGTACAAATTATATATA